AACTTATTTGCATTATCAACCCAAATTCAAGTAGTCCAGCATCAAAAGAACCATTAAGGGCTCTTCCCATCTTTAAGCTCCAATTGTAGGCAAATAAGCACCCCAGAATCAATTTGAAACTGATTGCTAATTTTAACTATGAAGTAGCTTCAATCATTCCAATTTGACTCATCAAAGCCTTTTGTAGTTGTTTCGCCCTCACTCTTGTCATTGGACCATCTGAATCCTCTTGCGTATCAGATTTACCTTTATGAGATGGATTATCATTCCCATGATGCACATCATTTTTTATAATATCTGAATGCTTATTTACTCTTTTTGAACATAAATTAAATTAATTAAGACTTATATTTTATTATTTAAAATATTTTTGAAGTTCATCTTGGTTTATGTCTTGAAGAAGTTCATAGAAAGTCTTTTTGAACTTCTTAACCTTAAGTTTTTTCACTTAAGTAATTATAACCTCTACTAGATGTCTAGATATGGCTTGGAATATATCAATATACTTTTTAGTTTTTATTTGGTGATTAAAGTACAAATACAGGTAGTTTATAAGAACTAAATTTTATATTACATTAAAAAAACTTTATTTTTAAAATAATAACATTTTAAAAGGATAAAATCATAATTTGATAAAGAGTTAAATAAAAAAGAAAACAAAATGCTATTATTAATATAATTATAAAAAATATCTAAACGCTTGCTAAAAAAACACTCGAAATTTTTAAATTATTGAATTAACTCACACAAAAATTTGGATTAATTAATTTTATTAAAATAATATTTTTTTTATAATAGCACGATCATGTTTGGAATCAATTTATTAAAATCTAATTATATGAACCAATGTCACAACATTAATGTTTTATCCTATTCTATTAAAAATATAATATTTAACTCTAATATTTTCGGGTCAATATGCCAAGTGGGCATTTAACAGCTATGCTTAGCAATTGCTGATTAATAGCCGAACTGAACTGCTTTTTTTATTTTTTTATTTTTAATGGAGTTGGACTTGGAGCCGGCTCCACCAACTTCCGAGAGAAATAAATTAGCGACTGACACAGATATCAAAATCCAACCTTCAAAATTCGTTAATACACTCCGATCCTTTCCTTCCTTTCCTTTATTTATTATTTTACTACTATGAACAAAAAATTAAGTTTGATTTTCAAGCAAGCAATCAGTAATTAAATTTTTAACAATAAACTTTAAACCCATCTTCTATTTTTAAACTTCTCTTTTTATCTTTAAAACCCTCGCCTTGACTGTCAGTTGTTCGTGTTTCTTTTGCTTCTTTGAGAGGAAGATCACAAGTTCAACGATCGAATCATACAGGACAGGACTGGTAACGAATTAAGTTTTATTTTATCTTGTTTACGAAAATAGATAATCATTTGTTAGGTTAATGTCTTGATTTTCTTCTTAAATGAAGTTTGTTGTGTTCTTTTTACGGTTTTAAGAACGCATGCAACTTATTCTGATCCTTATAGTATTACAGGGTGTTTGTGCTATGTGTTTCATTATTTATTTTGATTTACTGAGTTGAAGTTAAGTTAACTCAGCGCGATTCTTAAACCCTAGAGTCCAAATAATGTGTTTCATTATTTATTCATGATTAATTTGCTGGTCACCCAGGTACAAATTGCTGGTGAGTTGTATTGATTTTAGAGAAGGGCAGTTTGGGTTGGGGCTGGAATTTTCTTTTCTTTTATGGCAATTTTTTTTCTGTCACTGCAATCAATTGGCTGCCATACGGCAAACATAACTTGAATGGAATATCAAGTTGTAGATGATTGGTTTAACTTTTCCTTAATGCTTTGATCAACATTTTCCACGTATTGCCAGGAAAATTCTGGAGGTTGCTGGGAAAATATATAGAGGAGCTTCACAATTTATCAGAAAATCTGTGTTTAGATGAGCTCTGCTTTCACGATTATCTATTTTAGTGCATTGATTTTCACAGGTGGCTGTCTATGAGCTATCTGGGTTCGAAGAGTGGAACTATTTTTGTTTTATTAGTAAAACAGATTCCCGGATTACCTCGTGGAGAAACCCAGTTCAAAGGAAGGAGTATTTTTAAAAGGTGCACTGTTATATATATTAAAAAATACACTTTAGCAGTCTTGGAGATGTCTTCTATGTTAATTGTTTATATCATATCTAAGGTGTAAATCGAGGTTCTTTGAGTTTATATTGATTTAGCCTGTTAGAAGCTACCATATTTAAGTCCCAAGAAAAAATAAATGGAAGAAGCTATCACCTTTATCTGGCTTTGACAGTAGATACTTTTATCTCCTACAACACAGCTTGACAGTTTTTGTGTATTTGGTTGTTTAACTGGAAATTGTAGCATAAACAACATTGCCAAGCCAGCTAACCCTGGTGGAATGGACCAGCAAGGCCATGGGCAGCCTCCAACAGTAGGCATGATTGGAAGGACAGCTCCGGTTCCTTGTGGAATGGCTTCATATCAACCTAACCAGATGATGGGACCTTCTGCAGCTGGATCAGTTCAATCTCCTGCTCAACCAGCAGTTCTTGCTGCTGCTTCAGCTCAGCTTGCTCAACACCAACTTGCTTACCAGCACATCCACCAGCAACAGCAGCAACAGTTGCTGCAACAACTTCAAACTTTCTGGGCAAATCAGTATCAAGAAATTGAGCAGACTGCTGATTTTAAGAACCATAGCCTGCCCTTGGCTAGGATTAAGAAGATTATGAAGGCAGATGAAGATGTAAGGATGATATCAGCTGAAGCTCCTGTCATATTTGCCAGGGCCTGTGAGATGTTTATTTTAGAACTGACATTGCGTTCTTGGAATCACACAGAGGAGAACAAAAGGAGAACACTCCAAAAGAATGACATTGCTGCAGCAATCACAAGAACTGATATTTTTGATTTTCTGGTTGATATTGTCCCAAGGGAGGATTTGAAAGATGAGGTGTTAGCATCAGTCCCAAGAGGGAGTCTTCCAGTTGGAGGTCCACCTGATGCTCTTCCCTACTATTACATGCCACATCAGCTTGCTCCCCAGGTCTCTGCTCCGGGGATGACTGTAGGAAAGCCTGTGGTGGATCAATCTCTTTATGGCCAGCAGTCTCGCCCTTATGTGGCACAGCAGATTTGGCCACAGCAAACACTGCAGCCACCTGAAGATTCCTGAGCAGGCCATGCACTGGCTGTAGTTAAAACATGGATAATGCGAGTAAATTAAAGGTTGAAAAGCTAGGGGTTGATCAATTAGACTTTTATGCAAGTCATAACGTGTCATTTTCTATAGTTTTTGTTTCTTTAAATTTCATCTGTTTCTAATACTGTCAAGGATGTGAATTCAGCTGTTGTGGATAATTGGATTAACTGTAATCCTTTTGGCATGTGAAAAATCATGGTTTTGGGGTTCATCTATGTTATTATTCTCTTTATGAAGTCATCTATGCCTCCAATCTATTTTTCTCTGGTTGTAAACTTCTAGGATGGGTTGCTAGTTTGCCAAATAGCTATCTGGTTTCTTATTGCTAGCTCAGTTGGATTGGTGCGCTAATAATATTAAGCTGGACATGCTCTCAGCTATAAGCTATTCACCGTGATTTATTTCTGCACATGGGTTCTTTTTGATTGGTGAAAGAGGAAGAAATTAGAGTGCCGTGTCTCGTACGATCCGAACATGTGAATATGTCGTTCCTTCTCCAATGTCTCCCGAGCAGCATGGATATGTTGAGTTGCATGAAACTCAGAAGCTTCTCTATTTCAATATTGGCCGTCTCCATTTCCATAGAATTTATCTCAGGTTTTGAAATCATAGTGTCGTTCCTCTCATAGACTAGGTTAGTGATGACATTTATACTGTCTTCATGAATGGTGGTATTCATTTATCCGGCTGGAGGCAGGTATCAAGTAGCTTTTGGCTCTACGAGGGTGGAACTAAACGGTTTGAAATACCCAACTCAATTGAGTATAGAAAATGGTAGAATTTCCTCCAACTTTGACAGACGATATGAATTTATATATAAAAAAATGTTGCTATACTTGTAATTTTTTTCGATATGTATCTAAATTAATTTGGGTATTTAATGCGAATCTTGTGATTTGATAATATTTTTGGTCATATAACCACTCACAACAATAACAATAAATCTTAAAAAGCCGAAACAAATTTGATAGGAGTGTGACATAATAAAACATGTCTCAAGGCACTAATATTTTTAGAATAAAAACCCCCACCCTGCGAATATCAATTTGCGAACATCATAAGGTCAGTTATACTTTAGTCAAATTGGCTCTTTATCGTAGCAAAAAAAACATGTTGCATCACGCAAAACACAAGTCTATTCAAAACATCATGGGCGGAAGCTTAAAACCTAAGTACAATCTAAATAACCCTATTTATAATAGATGAAAAATATCCTAAACAATTCTAAAAAAAATTCTAAATCAACTAAAAAACGAATATAAATCTTACACAGTAGCTCCTGGATATTATCACAAGGCCTTCCCAAAGTTTAATTGCTTTGAAATTTTGACACAATATAAAACATGACCTCTAGAAACATCTAGCAAGAAATCCAGCCCGATCAAATAATTGAATAAATAATTATGCATGTCAGCATAAAACTATGCAATATAAATAATCAACCCAATAATCATTGTAAGAAAAGATTTTGGAACATTAAAGGAATCCTTGCCATACTTGAAAAGTATATTGCTACCCATTAAAGATTCTTGTAGAACTATAAAAAGTCCAAAAATTAGTTGCAAAAAAATCCTCTCTAAATAGGAAATCCACAAGTGTAAAAGCAATAAATAACAAAATCCATTTTGTATTTTCTGACCTATATCACAATGTCTTATAGGACTTTAACTAACTTAAAATTTTAACCCAACATAGAAATATGTTTGAAAAACTCCTAGTTACATTTTAGCTTGATCCAATGATCAAATTTAAAGTAATGCTTACTAGCGTAAAACTGGATAATAGAAGAGTTTATGCCAAAATATGAATATGACCTTACTTGAATCATATCAATATTTTTCTCTAAGACTACTTTGATTATATTTGTTTGATGAATGTTAAATATTTTATTTTTTCTAATGCCTTGTATTCTCTACTTAATTAAAATTAATCATTAAAACAAATTAAACTATTATTAGTTGGATTGGTGCACCATTAGTAACACAGTTCTCCGTTTACAAGTCCAAATGGAGTTGGGTTACTTGAATTTAGGTTAGAATTATAATTAGAGGATGTTTTTTAGGTTGCTTGGTGTCATCTTCTGGTCAACTTTGAGCCTAATTTCATCTCTTTATTGCATGGGAAAATGAGTCTATCCTATGCGGTTTTCAAGTTCAAAATATCATTTGTTCAGGTTATCTATCCATGTATGCATTGAAGTTTTCTATAAAAAATTATGTCTATTTTAATTTTAGTACTTTCTAGATAGACTGTTTGCCCTTCCTAGAGTAAAAAACAAGTTATTATTATTTATTGTCGAGAATTCTTCTAAATTCAATTATTAAATCTCATTTTATTTTAATTTGGTGTTTTGTAGACATGGAGTGATGCTTTAAGTACATAGTTATGATTTAGACCATATATTGAGATCTTTTTGAAAATTTTGAATTAAAGTGTTTTGATTTGGTTGATTAGCATCTATCACGTTTCATATCTCATTTGTGAGTGGTGGACTTATTGCCTTGACTCCATACCTATCAAGTGGTGATTTTATATATATCTTTATATTGGTGAGTTATTTGCATTTGTATCTCTTCACTTCAAAACTTTAGAGTATCGAGAGAAAAACACTTTTTTTAGTGTGAGTGACTTGTGTTGTTGAATTTTCATACCATCCTAGTAACAAGTTGGTATTAGAGCTTTTGTTTTATAATCATAGTTGTTTGCGAATGATTTGCAAGAATTTGAAAATGATATTCATGCTATTAAAATGGATAAAATAAGAAGGCAAATCCAGCAACTCTAGGAGCATATTAAACAATAGAGATGATGATGATGATGAGAGAGATACTAAAATTTGCTCTTCTAGGAACAATAGGGATGATGTTATTCCTTTCCATCATAGACCTACCATGAATCAAATAGTGATGGTTCTTTTACTCAGCATTAAAGAAGAAGAAATAAAAGACCTTATAAAGAATCTGATGTGAGAGTTGAACCGTGGAGAGGATTTTTATTCCAAAGAGTTTCCTGAAAATATAAAAGTGAAGTTAGTGGCTTTAAAATTGAGAAACTATGCTTCTTTATGGTGTTATAATCTTAAGAAGTAAAGAGGTCACCAGGGCAAAAATAAAATTTAAGTTTTAAGAGAAGATGAAAAGGGATCTTAAGAGGAGATTTGTACCTAAACATTATAGATAAAAAGACGTTTCTCAAGTTTCATAACCTAAGATAACATATTCTGACTGGTTAGTATATAAAAGTGCATTCTCATTAAGGTTTTATATTATCATATTGCACTTAAAGTATCATTAAATTCCTTAACTTAAGCATATTTTATAATAACAACCCTGATAATACAAGATAACTTTAATTTATGGTAAATGCTTATTTTAAATGCAAGCATATCTCACAATTTAAAGAATTAATTGATGTGATTAACTATTGAAAGTGAAAAGACAAAGAAAAGGCTAAGCTTAGAAAAGAGATGCTAATTCAATTTAAATTGGAATACTATTCAGTCATTGGATCATATTTAAAGGTGTAAATCTTGGATTTCAAATTGGTTTATATGGCTAAAAGCTAAGATATAAGCCTAAAACATTCATAAGAGTCCAAGACTTAATTTTACCCTTTAGAAATCTAAATCTTAGCATAAAAAAAGAAATCCAAATCCGTCATGCAACTCTCACATTATTCAGTGTAACCTTATCTCGAGTTCTAGAAGTTCACATGAGCTCATTCATTTTTTATTGGAAAGCTGAGATAAATTCTCAAAACTTTAATAAAGACTATGTATTTAAATTTCGATGTTAGCAATGATGTTTTGTTCAGACAAGAAGATAAGGGTTGTCACCAAGTGAAAATTTGGTCACCCACTTAATAATTAGTCATCAGATAAATAGTTTCAAATCCTAGCCTATAAAAGGAGGCATTTGCCATACATTTAGACATCTTGATTTTTAGATCAAGACCATTTCCATAATTGCTTTCTTTCTTTGTAGTTCAATGTTCAAGTTTTATTTCATGTTATAGTTTCAGTAATCTCTTGTTTATGTCTTTTGATTAGTACCTAAAAGTGCATTTTTATCATAGTTTTATATCATCATTTTGCACTTGAAGTATCAATAACTCCTTAACCAAAGCATGTTTTATAATAATATATCTAATAATATAAGATACCTATAATTTGTGGTAAATGTCTATTTTTAATACAGGCCTATCACATAAATGAAAGGAATGATTGATGACTTTAAGAACTTAAATTGCAAGGATAAAGAGATGGCCAAACTTAGAAAAGAGATGTCGGTGCAATCCAAACCGGAACACTGTTCGGTAAATGGGTCATATCTGGAGCTATATATCTCAGATTTAGGTCCAATTTATATGGATGGAAAGGTAAGACATAGGCCTACAACTTTCATATGGAGCCCAAGATCTAAAAAGGCCATTATCAAGTCCAAATTGTAGCAACAACAAAGAAGCCCGAATCTGTCTTCCAGCCCGAGCACTGTTCGGTATTTTGGCCATATCTGGAGTTCTAGAAGTCCAAATGAGCTGAAATTTTTACACAAGAAAGCTGAGACAATTGCCTACAACTTTCATGTTTGCAACTGGCTCCAGTTTTGACGTTATCAATGACGTTTTGGGCAGACAAGAGAAGATAAAGATTGTCACCAAGTCAAAAGTTGGCCACCCACTTATCAATTAGTCATCAAATCAATAGTTCCCATTTTTGGCCTATAAAAGGAGGCATTTGCCATGCATTTAGGCATCTTGGTGTTCAGATCAAGATCATGCTCTTCCTTTCTCTCTTTGTATTTTTTATGCTTTGTTTTCATTAATATTAAGTTTATGCCTTTCATTTCCTTTCCTTTACTTAGTTAACTTTTATGTTCTTATTTTGTTTATCTATTTTGCTTTCTTTCATTATGTCTAGCTAAGTTAATTATGTCAAGGTGAAAAGGTTACACTAATGGTGTAAGAATAAGTATAATGTAAACTTAATATGGACTTTAATGTTTGATACTAACATGTTTTATATTTGTTATCTTGTTCACTCTTTAATACTTTGCTTGTTAAATAACTAATCTTGATTTATGTTGTATAACACTTGGTACAACAAATGCTTGACACTTTTATAGCCAATCATGTGTTACTATACTTGTACTATGAAAAAAACTTGATTTGTTGTAACATAAGTTAACATCATGAATTCCTGAAGCTTAGTGTTACTTTTTTTTTTGGTAAGTTGACGTATATATTAAAGGAAAACAATACAAAGATTATAAGGGGCATACCCCAGATTTACAATGAGAACAGAAATGTAAGACAACAGATGGCTACAGGCTAGCCACCGAACAGAAAACTCAAGACCTAACTTGATTAGTTAGGGAAACCAATACAACCAGCTAAATATCAAATAAAGAATCTATATTATTGATACTGAGTTTACGAGAAAAATTGACAAAACTTTTGCCATGCCAAGTGACAGTGGCCCATCGAATCCATTCATCCCATCCTTTTGTCATTCTTGGAATGTTGCATCTGTCACAAACATCCCACCAGATCGCTTTAGTATAGGAGCATTCAAAGAACAAGTGGTTGTGATCTTCGTAGTTGCGGAGACAGAGTGAGCATCTATTGGGACCATGTATACCAAATCGATGAAGTCTATCTTGAGTTGTGAGTTTCTGTTGGACAGCCACCCATAGAAGAAGCTTAGTGTTACTTAAATAACATAATTAATATGATTATGTTAATAATTTATAATGAATTATTAATGACAAATCATCCGATTAAAACCTCATTTGTGTGTGGTTTCTAGTTGAGTAATAAAAAAAAATTATATTACATTTATTTTTAATACCATTAATGGATTCTCTAATCTTGATATTTTTTTATCATTGTTTAATCCTCATATTAATATTACATCTCAAAGTCCTCTTTAACTTATTATTATTATTGATTTTGCATCAAAAGTATCATTAAGTCTCTTATTTTACATTTGTATTTATTATTTTTTGGGTTTTTATAATAATTAATGTGCTTTTTAGTAATAGAGTTTCTTTTAATGTCTTGATAGATTTTTAGAGCTTAAATGGATTATGTTAGAAAATTTAACTTTGGAATTCAAAATAAAGAATTGAAGAGAAAATCTTGGCTCAAATAAGTGCTTTAAATTTTCCCCAAAAATCAATTCTATTTCAATCTTAGAAAAGATTATCATATGATCTATTTAAAGTCCAAACATGCCTTATATTATGTGCAAACTTCAACCATCAAATACTCAAGGTTTCAATGTCAATCTTACCCAAATAATAAGTATATTTGTATCCTTATATGATGCTTAAATTTAGCCCCAAATCAGCCTCCAGATCAACCCAAGCACAATCCAAGATCTTACATGTCCACACAATAAATAACAATTGATTTATTTTGGGTAATCCATTTATTCAAGAGGGTAAGTACATGGATGGAATGATGGAGGGGACATTGTTACATTATTTTGGGTAAAAATAAGAAAGAGACAGTTTATCAAAGAGGAAGAAAAATATGCACCAAAGTGATTTCCAAGCTTGTATGATTTAATTTTTTAGATCTTTAGGTGTTTTGCCCATAACGTTTGACCTAGGAGTTCAAATGAGCTGTTCTTTAATGATCTGGAATGATAATAGAATTTCCTAGAAATATATCTCTAATAGCCATCTCTAGAAAAGGCTTATAGAAGGTTCGAAATTGCTGTTCAAAGTTAGCATTATATTTGTGTTCGAATTTTTACTGAATTATATTGTGTTCTTTGTAGATTTCAGTTCTTTAGTTTATAAAACTTATTATTTTAGTTTAATTCAAGTTATTTCATGTTTATTAAAGTGTTCTTATATATAATCATGGTTGACTAATCTCTTTCTTAGATCCACCAAATCAAGGATGATGGTGATTGAGGTGAGTTCTTTAAGATATGAATTAATCTTCATGTTTATGTTCTCATTTTCTTCTTGAATGTTTTATTATTACAAAGAAATTTTAGAAATCATTTAGGTAATGTTATAATCTTGAATTTTTATGCACAAACTTTAGTTTTGGTATAGAGATTGCTTGATTCAATGTTTGACTTAATATAAAAATACTTGTTCATTCTTAAGCAATAATCAATCTTCATCTTTCTAAACTTCATTGTAATATCTTC